CCTAGGTCAGCCAATTCCTAAACTATTAAGTTTGGCAGACCAGTTTTGAAATTCCACCAGGGACCTTGCGGTAGGTCAATTAATGATATTTTCTTTTTATTTGAATGTAAAAATGAATGTTGCGCAGACTAGTAATGTAAGGGTTACTGCCCTGCGCCGGTTTGGGGAATGCTGCTCTACGTTACCCTAAACTACACCCCATTTACTTCATAATGATCTGATTTATATTTTAACGATCTAGGATGCTCTGTTTATTTCGTCCGTTGCTTGATGAAACATTGTTTTAAAATGATTTATTATTATTAGTTCCAATCTTAATGTGCCTTAACATTTTCTATTTACCTAGGCATTTTTAAAAAAAACTTTGACCCACCAACCTATATCTTTTAAACAGAAAAGGATAGATTCGAATTGGTAAATAACAAAACAGTGTTGCCATGTCAAGAAAATTTCAATAAATAATCATTTTCAAATATTTTTTTTTTCAACTGACCAGACGACATGGTGTGCACAAGTAATACAATGTTATGAGTTTAAAATAATTATGCATCATAAATATTTTTTCTGTCAATTCCTCTTCCCTAAAGTCTCTTCCCACCCTGGATCTGGCCTTCCTCCAAAGTCACCCACCCTGGCCTTCCTCCAAAATCACTCACCCTGGATCTGGCCTTCCCCAAACTCACCCACCCTGGATCTGACCTTCCTCCATACTCACCCACCCTGGATCTGGCCTTAATTCAAACCCACCCGCCCTGGATCTCGCCTTCCCCAAACTCACCCACCCTGGGTGTTGCCTGGGGGAAACATAGTCTCAATGTTCCTGTCTGTTGATTGTTGCAGCTGTGGCATTCTCTCTTGCTGGAAACACTGGCTGGTTCATAGGTATGCTTCTGGCAGTCATCATAATCATCTCTCTCCTCGTCATCTTCATGTTGTGCTACAAACAAGGATTTCGATTCTCCCAGAATGATGGGCACAGCTACTGTGGTGTAGGGTTGGCCCCAAAAGAAAATTTCGCTGGAACTTACAACAGTAAGTGCTGTGTCTCAAGTTAATGTATAGTACATGGTATCTCTTGGGGAGCCATATCTGACTAGCTTCAGCATGGTATCTCTTGGGCTGCCTTGCCTGATTAGTTTCAGCATTGTATCTCTTGGGCTGCCTTGTCGGATTAGTTTCAGCATTGTATCTCTTGGGCTGCCTTGTCTGACCAGATTCAGCATTGTATCTCTTGGGCTGCCATGTCTGACCAGTTTCAGCATGGTATCTCTTGGGCTGCCTTGTCCGACCAGTTTCAGCATGGTATCTCTTGGGCTGCCTTGTCCGACCAGTTTCAGCATATGTCAGTCAAACAATAATTTTAAACGATAGCTACTTTCATGTGTAATTTTCTGGTCTATATGGTTATAAAAGCATTCAATTCTCCTTAATAAAAAGTACATTATATTTTAATACCTTATGAACTTGAATTTTTAAAAAATCTATTTGTGTTATTTATTTTGCATAATTTTTTTTCCTCCAGATAATATTCATATATATTTAGTATTAAAATGTTTTTGTCCTCACTTTCTTGTGCTTATATATGAGTATATATTGAGAATTTTTTGGTTTATGAAGCACCCCAAAATAACCTGAAAAAAAATGTTTTTGGTATCTATGCCCACATTTTCAATTCTCGCCCCCTTTCTTTTTTAAAACTACCTGATTATTTTGACTGTTAAGGTACTGCAAATATGACAGATGATTTAGAGCATTCAGAAACTGAGCCTGAGGACTGCACTGAACTGCCTGAACGTGTTCAATACAACCAGGACTATAAGAACACAAATCTGAATCTAGAGCAACAAGCCGATGATTATTATCGTGACATTGAGGAATCAGAAAGTCCGGCCAGCAATCGTTACATTAATGAAGGAGAGATTCAGTACAACAATGATTACTATGATGAGGAGGAACAAGTGTCAGAGAGAGGACACAACTCCTATGATGAGTATGATGATTGACAACCACCCCCATGATGTGTATGATGAGCGACAACCTCAGTTTTAGTTGTATGATGACAAAAGTCATCCCCTTCATATTGTGTGAGGATGAAACAATTAATTTGAAATTATTGATGATTTATGATGAAAATGTGTTCATTGTTTTGTTTTGTTTTGTTAAAGACTCCAACCCACTCAGTCCCTCTACAAGCCAATTCATCAATTGTTTTGTTAACTGTTAAAGACTCTAACCTACTCAGTCCCTCTACAAGCCAATTCATCATTTGTTTATTATAAAGTTATTATTTCAACTAATGGATCAGGTGCTAAGCCTGCAATGTTATATTATATATTACATGATCACATAAAATTTAAATTTTAATAATTTTAAAAGCCTCAGATTATTTTACATTCAGCATGTGTGTGACGAAGGGGTTTATACGTAATAAAGATGTCTTCTTTAAAATGTTAGGCGTTTCGGTCTGATTTTTAGAGATTTTTAATTTGGTGAATGTTTTTTTCAATTTTTTAAAATTATATTGTTTTTCAAACTGCTAGATATTCTAGACAGAAATCCAAGTGTCAAATTGAAAGCAGAGGCTAAAGGAGAAAAGGGACTTCTGTTTTTACAATTTCTAATATAAAATCTAAGAAATGTTAGTGAGTTAGTGTATATTTCCTATATTTCCACTTAATGGTAATGTTATCCATTTGCTCCACTTTGAGAAGGCATCAAGGAGTGCATAGGTAGAAAGAAGAGAAAATCGGGCTATTTTATTTGTGACGAAGTTTATGAAGATATTGATGGACCATCCGAAAGCAGCTTTATCGTGATAACAAGGTTTGTTTCACTACAATCTCTCAGCTGTTGTAGTCGTGTTGGGCAATCTGCCGCCGCCATCCCTTTTGTTTATTGCAACAACAAAAAAATTTGCCTCTCAAATCGGACGTTGTGCGCGGTATGGTTTTTTTTTTGTTGTCATCTTCTACACATAAGAACCATCGTGGCAGCTATTCTTATGGAGGTCTTCACCTTGGTTCTTCATTCAAAATAACAACAACAAAATTTGGATAACGGTCAAATAAAAATTCATGGTTACAAAAAAAACTTACTCTTAAGATGAATTTTTGTTTGTTTGTTAGATTAAATTTTAAAAAAAAAATTTACATCGTCCATTTCATGGTAACTAAGTATTTGATCACATTAAAAAAAAAAAAAATTCTGTATAGCATCTGCCTCTTTATACATTAGAGATAAAGCATTTAGTATTCATATCTTCACAAATTTTATTGACCAACATATTTTTACTGACGCAGTTTTAATATAAATTTGTTAAAATGGCTGAACCAAAAACATTGGAAATATCCATGGCGCATGACTTAATTAAAATATATATATAAGTATATATATATATTAGATATACATGCCAGGTTTGGGGGAGCCAAGTGACCCCCGCCCGGAGCAAAAATATGTCCAGCAATAAATCAACTGGCAGTGCCCCCCCGGGGAGAAAATTTCTGAAATAATCACTGCAAACGACACTAATAGCTATTAATGGGTACATTTGCTGCTGGCAGCGGTTCTCAATCCGGGTGACACCGAATCCAATGCAAATGCATACGAGCCGCTTTAGCCCTAATCTGCTATGGTGGCGCCCAGCTGTGGTGGCACCCTGCTATTGCTTTCAAGTAAGATCGTTACGACATCCACTCTAGCGAGCTCTTGCTATGGTGGCTCGCTGCTATTGTTTTAAGGTAAGTTTTGAAGTAGTACCCATTCCCCTCTGTGTGGGTGTAACAAAAAAAAAAGCAATTCGTCCATCCCATCTGGTTGACACTTTTGGTAAAAAAAAGTATGAATACTGAGAGAGCCAGCCGGTTGTAGGACTTCTGTATCTGGGACTTTGTCCTCCCATCGTATGACACAAAGCTTGCGTAGGCAGCAGAGATGGGGATGGTTTCCTTTATTTTTTTATTTAAAAAAAATATATTTAAAAAATAATGGAAATATTACCCTTCCCTAGGATTATGCAATATTTTTCAGCTTTGCCTGTGACAACATTGATGAGCATGATAATGATAAACCAAAAGGAATATCACAAATAAAGGAATTGAATAAACCTACGGTTCACAATTTTATTTTTGAACAAAAAAAAATTAAACAAAAATAAGTATTACCATTGCATTAGTTTTTCTTCCACAAAACTGTTTACATTTAGACCTAGTTGAAATGTAATTTTTTTTTGAAATATAGACAAGTAGGTCATCATGCAGCTGTGAGCAGTTTTTGCAGAGTATTAGTAATATAACATACGATGACAGCAAGACGTCGAGCAATAATGAATATCGGATTGTTGGCCTAGAGACAGACAGACAGTCAGACTTCTGGTAGATGAACGAAAAGCTCAGTCACTCTCGTCCAGATGGCAGAAAGTCTCAATCACTTTCGGCCGAAACCGAAAATAATCCGAAATTAAGCCGAAATTTAACTTTTCAATTTCGCCTGAAACCGAAACCAGGCCGAAAGTGATAAAATGGCCACTTTCGGCGCCGAAACTGATGCCGAAATTCGGTCGGTCTTTAATTGTGTGGTAGGTTGTTAAATTTTTTTGGTAAATTAAAAAAAAAAAAATGTTTGCAAAGCTTTTTGCAGCGTTTCGAAAATGCCGCCCCTCAATATAGAGAAAACCGGTGCGGACCGCCCCCCTCTCCTACAGCCTACGCCGCTGCCACTGACACATCGTGTTAAGTAATCTAAACAGTGTAATGAGTGTCAGGCATCCAAATTTTTTTTTTTTACTGAAAATAAAATGCTTTTAGTAACTTTCACTTTCAACATAACTGCGTCCTTAAAGATACCTTTTTAATATATTATTTATCCATATGAGATTTCAATGTTTTGTCTAGACCCCCCCCCCCTTTTTTTTTCCGCCTCCCCCCATCCCCCGCTGTTTATTTATTTTGTTATGTTTTGTCATCTTTTTACAGGCTCATTTTTTAAATTACTCAGGTGTGTGTCGTAGGTGTCGCAGGTGAGGACAGTTGTCGTCCGTGATGACCTAAATTTAGCAAACGCCGTGCAATGGCGGAATAGGTAGGTTTCCTGTTGTTTATTCTAACCTTTTTACTATAATGTGTGTTCATATTCTTTTAATCGCACTAAAGACATAGTTTAGACATGAATAATTGGGTACTGCAAATGTTCACCTCCGGTGACAGGTGAATATTTTTCATTAATCTTCACCGGCAGCCAAATTTTAAGTGTTATACATCAAATGCATTTTATTGTACTTTCTTCCGGGAAGATGGCGGAAATGAAGTCTTAATAAATCTGTTAAAATACTATTGTGTTGATAATAAACGGCAAACGGTCCATTTAGGTGAGTTGTGCAGGATCCCATATGACATATGATGATTACACTAATATGAATGAATGAATGACTCGTAGTCTCCCATCAATATTTATTAAAGTATTAATATGCTACTAGTACTAGTCTAGTAGAGTTAAGTTACTGGGACATTGGTGTTAGATACTGATAGGACCATCTTAGCCCATCATCTTCAAGACCTTCATCTCATCCTAGGGCCCAAAACCCTATCTGACCCTTAGAACTAGTAATTGAGACTTGGCGGCTTTTAAGGTTATTATTAAAATATTTAAAAACCACGAAGAAAGCCTCATTATTTAATAATAATGTCACAACTTCATTTGACTTAAAGTTGAAGGTCTAGTGAAGCCGAGTTTGAGTACAATACTTGCATACACTCACACTGAAAAGTACACTCAATTAATTATATATTATGGATCTTATTCATAGTAGGTCTATGTCTATGCCTACATCTGATATTTTATATGGTTTTTTTAAGTTTAGAAGTAAGCTCTGACACTGAGACAATTTTTAAGAATAAGAAAACATTACAGAAAAAAAGGTGCATTCTTTTATTCATTGTAGGGCTAGTTACTGAATTTTCAATACCAGTTATTAATATGAAGGGAAAAAATGCATTGTTCATACTTCGGCTCAACGTTGCCATCTTAGAAATTAAAAACTATTCTTTAAAAAATAAATGATTTCAGATAACAGCATCAAGGAATGTATTCTTCAGTTTGGATCTTTGTGGCCCTCTTGGCCAGGGTATCAGCAGGTAACAGCGTCATAAATATCTATAAATTAAATTATTACATTGATGACAAAAATGTATGAGGCACATAGTAGATATAAGCAGATTTTTTAAAGTGAGGCACATAGTAGATATAAGCAGATTTTTTAAAGTGAGGCACATAGTAGATATAAGCAGATTTTTTAAAGTGAGGCACATAGTAGATATAAGCAGATTTTTTAAAGTGATTGCATTGTTTTGTTTTTTAACACTGTTTTTTTTTTACTGTGCACCCCAGTATCACGCCCCCCAGGGATCACAGTTGAGCCCCCTTATGATATATATTATAAAGCTGGTGAGACAGTAGAGATGGTATGCAAAGCAGAGGGTGAACCCAGACCATCGTGAGTACAACTTGTGGTGTAATTATTCAACAGCTTAATTTTGAAATCCACTTTTTGCTTCATTGAAAAATTAAGAAGCTCCTTATTTTGTTTCATAGCATTTGGTAATGCTGAAATTATTTTTTGTTCTCAATTGGAAGCAATTGAAAGATTTTATTAACTCAATTTATTATCATATGCATACCATAATTAAGATAGCCGTAATATGCTTTTAGTGCGTACAAAATACTGACCTTTGCTATAATTTTTCTTTAGATATGACTGGAACAGAAATGAGATTCCTTTCAACCCCAGTGGTAATGATGACAGAGTCGTACAGCTTCCCAATGCCGGAACTCTTGTCATCAACATGCCTGAAGATAAAGATGAAGGCATCTTCCAGTGTTTTGCAAAAAATGACTTTGGCACATCTGCAAGTAAAAAAGTTAATCTCAGGCAGGCCAAGCTCGAAGATTTCACCCCTAGTGCACCACAGTATCGGACAGCACAACTGGGTAGAGCTTTCACCCTTGACTGTGTCCCCCCTGAGAGTGTTCCGCCCGCAAGTGTCTTCTGGATTACGAAAACAAGTGCAGGAGGAATTGATGTTGTCAACTATGATGATAGAGTTTCTATGGACAGAGAATGTAAGTGAATGGTTTTTTTCAGTAGTTTTCCTTTTACTTATGATAATAGTTTTTTCCAGCATTTCAAAATAATGCTCTTCATATTTTCAGAGAGGCAACAGTCTTACCGCATACATCAGGGCTTATGTTGTGCTTGGTTTCAAAAGTGTTCATTGCCAGATAAAGGTTTAATAGACAACAAAGGCACTGTTAGTTTTCTTATCATTGAATGTTCAGCACATATTTCTTTATGTCGTAAATGGTGAGCATCTATGATCTTAAAATCGTTACTTTTATTTGTTCCAGCAGCTGTAGTCTGTCAGAATAGGGTTATTTTGTGTTGTGCAAACCCCCCCTCATTCCATAAATTTGGGTACCATCCTAATGCACATTTCCTCATATATGAGAAATAGTGACCACTAACAGTGCCAAATTAAATACTTTTCTTCTTAATGAATGGTTTTATTGGTGGATAAGACAGTTGCAAAATACGATATAAAAGTAAGTCATCTTATAGACCAGCTGAACAGCAACATTTCTTTCACTTACTCTTTTGTTTTGTTCAGCAGTTTTAAACAAATTTGATTTGCCTTGAGTAAGCCTTTTTGATAAATAAAGAAGATCTATTATTAAAATAAAACGATAATTAATAATATGGGGATACTTTTTCAGCCATGTTTATGTTTATTGGAAAACATGCATTATTTCATTGTTGTAACAAACAGATCGCCTGAGATTCACCAATATTAAAGCAAGTGACTCCAAGAATGGTATGCCTTATGCTTGTGTAGCCATGAACAACATAATGAGACGCAACTCTCAAGGGCCCCTTCATTACATAACAACCTCTCAGGGTGAGAAAACTTGTCTTATGTTACCAGTATGAAAATCAAACCATATTTAACAGATAGAAATATTCTTTTATACACTAATAAAGATACATAAAAGTTTAGTGTCAGCTCTGACAGGTAAAAACAGAATTGAAAAAAATAATATGCACAGAAAGGCTTTTACTAAAAGTTGGGCACCTTTTCATTTTGTGACCTACATGCTGTCGATAATGTGGTTCCCATCCTCAGCTCTGCGACCCAAACCCTCTCCCTGTCTAAAATTGCTCCTAAACACCATTAACTTGTAAATCGTAGGGTAGGCCTAATTGATTTCTTTAAAGGGTGGGAACCTCTGGATTGAATTAACACCAGGGAAAGTGAAAGCTCTACCAGTACCTTTATTTCAATACAATTTTTTTATTTAATCTCTTATTTAATTTATATTTCAATTATTTGTATGGGGAAATTTTTTAACCTGGCACATTAGCTAAAATATTTTCATAAGGTGTGGCTTAATATTATTATGGTACATTTATGCAACCCAGTTTTTAACTAAAAAATAAGCAAAGCAAGAAAATTCAATTTTTTTTACTTGTGCTCAAGAGTAGTAGCCTTGACTTGAGCTGTATTTTGTTTAAAGTGAGGGAGAGTTGCATATTTTGTCAGACTCACTCTCTAGTCCTTGCCTATTTGTTCCAATGACAAGACATAGTCAAGACGACTGGAAATATATCAGTATGCAGTAGATAATCAGCAATGTGTCTTGTCTCACTTCACTCTTTATCGCAGGAGTTGTCGGAATTTTCATTGGGTCAATATCATACCACCTATGGGACTCAATCTCTGGGTTTAATCTCAGACTTTGCCTTCTCTTAGAGCATCGGCTCTCAACCTGTGAGTCGCCTAGGACCATCAGAAAACACATATACTCTACAGTTATGAAGTAGCAATAAAAATAATTTTATGGTTGGGGGTCACCACAACATGAGTAACTGTATTAAAGTGTCGCAGCATCAGGAAGGTTGAGAACCACTGTCTTAGAGTGTCACCCAGCACCATACTCTTGTATATACTAATATTGAGTCATATTCCCAGAACTGAATTTTCTAAAAGTGTGAACATTCTTAATTTAAAAAAAACAAAAAAACTACTTTTCTTAATTGATCGTTTTGTTTTCTTAAAAATCTAGGTAATGAAGACTATATGTCTGTCGATTACCTCTGGGCAGATCAGGATGATAGATTTGGTCTTCGTGGTGAAGTCTTTGCAGTAAAGTGTATTTTTTCTGGAAAGTAAGTGTTTAAAGTAACAATTGCTCCTATAGATTTTATTCTATCTGGTGAAAATGCAAAGCAATTAAAGGGTTTTTATTGCATTTCATTTAAAAAAAAAAAAAGAATGCGGCAGTTAAGTTTTTTTAAAGAATAGTTGTATCAAGTTTAAATTTTTTTACAGCCCGACACCCGATGTCCACTGGGAAAGGACAGATAACAAATCAATGCCCTCTGACCGTTTCCAATTAAAAAGTTTTGCTCAAGAACTTGAAATCTCAAACTTACAGTTTGAGGATGCTGGAACATACGAGTGCTGGGCCACGAATTCCATTAGTCAGGAGCGCAAGATTCGAACCTTTAACATTCGTGTCAACTGTAAGTAGGCATGGCTTAAACATTTTTTTGTCATAAATTGCAAAGATGTTTTTTTTTTGGAGGTTGATTTACATAAACATGACTGTTACCATAGGTTGATTTACATAAACATGACTGTTACGATAGGTTGATTTACATAAACATGACTGTTACCATAGGTTGATTTACATAAACATGACTGTTACCATAGTGGTTTGATTTACATAAACATGACTGTTACCATAGTGGTTTGATTTAATCAAAATTTAAGCCCTCTTTTTTAATTCCATTTTGATCAACTCTAATGGCTGGTTTATGTTTATCAGCTAAACTTTTGTTCAACTCTAATGGCTGGTTTATGTTTATCAGCTAAACTTTTGTTCAACTCTAATGGCTGGTTTATGTTTATCAGCTAAACTTTTGTTCTCCACTACTGTCCTTTATTATTATTTGAAAGCCAATGTTATAGGCCTTTATTGCTTTTGTTTCAATACCGTCTCCAGCTAAGCCATATTTCCTTGAAGAGCCCAAGGACATTGAAATAGGTGTGGGGGCAAATGTTGAGTTCACCTGTATGGCAGGTGGTGTTCCTGAACCTGACATTGAGTGGTATGTCAATGGCTTAGTACTTAAAGGTAAACTTCATGAATTCAACATAACTTTTATTGATTTTTAGAAATTTACTTGATTTTTAAGGAGAGCTTTGTGGAATCCAAGCTCCGCTCTTTACATTTTCACAATATACTCATGTGCAGTGCATCACAAACAAGTTAGAGATGGGTCTGAGCACCGGGTCATTGAGCAGTGACCCATTCACTACTTATAACAATCTCAGATGCTTTAAATTTGATTTATTAGCATTTCTAATACTAGAAATAGTTTTGTTATTAGTAGATATATTGGTCTAAAAGTATAATGAACTCATGCACAGTTTTCAGCTGCTGAAAAACAAATAAATTGGAAGCATTTAAATATAAAACGAATTAATAATATAAAAGCAAACTAGATAAAACACACATAATTAGTGCTAAGAATCAGTGCTAAGAATCAGTGCTAAGAATCAGTGCTAAGCACATGCCGTTAGAATTTTTCTTATAAAAAAAAGGCCCTCCAAAGACTTAACATACCATAAAATATTATTGGGCTGTTTAACAGCTATAGCCAAATTATACACAAACACATCTTAATTTGATCATTAAACGTATTTTCTTTGTTGCACACAGATGTAACTGATCCCAGGATCAGAGGACCAAGGTTCAAGCGTCCTCTGGAGAACAAGATATTTTTAGAGAATGTGGAACAAACGGATCACATGGTATTCCAGTGTAACGCTTCCAACATTCACGGCTATGTCTTTGCTGACTTCTATCTCAATGTTCTTTGTAAGTGGTTTTAGAAACAAATCAACATAGAATTTATTTGACTAGAATTTAATTATATATTCAAATACTGTAGGGGAACTTCAAAACCAATCCATGTAGATTTGGGCAAAATAAGCTATGTCAATTATTTTTACTTGAATGCTTGCAGCTGAGGCTCCAACCATTATTCAGCCACCCGAGGCTATTCAAGAAACTGCAGAGAGCCAGTCGGTCAGCTTGATTTGTAGAACAACTGGCAAACCTGACCCCATTATCACCTGGTTTAAGGATGAAGAGCAAATAACAGGAGGCCGGTATAGAATTCTACCCACTGGTGATCTTTTTATACGGGTAAGCGTATGTAATAGGCCCAAAGAGCTATTAAATGCTAAATTAGTTGCTACAAATAATTTAAACTTCTCATGCATTTTTCACCTGTTACTTAATGAAGTAATATTTAGTACTATACATATTAAAAAGATGTAATTTTTAAAAAGTATTTGTAATTTTTCTAATCTTGGTCTTGCTGTGGTAGAAGAAAACTAGCTGTGACTGATATTTAAGGTGATGTGTATGTGAAGGTTAGTTACTCAAAGGTAACAGTCTTGTGTCTTGTTTGTTTAAAGGCTGTAGTACTGGCAGATGCTGGGATATATCGATGTCAAGCTCAAAACAGGTTCAACGTGACAGATGCAAGTGGCACCCTAGTCGTCAGGCGAAAAACGCGAATAGAGCAGATACCTTACGACCTTGAAGTCAATGCAGGAAATGACGCAAAGTTTACATGTTCAGGTACTACAGACCCAGAGGAGGTGGAAAATTTAAAGATTCTGTGGCTTAAAGATGGGAAGTCAATTACTGCCAACGATCAAAGAATGACCACGAATAGGCAGGACAATTCACTGACCATTAGTGGTACCATTGTGAGGGATTCAGGCACTTATACTTGTATAGCAACTAATGGTTTGGATAATGCAACATCTTCTGCAACGCTTATGGTCAAAGGTCAGTACATTAATATTTAATATTTAAAAAAGATATATTGCCAACATTGGGTCAAGATTAGGGGCTGCATTTTATTTAGTTGATAAATTATTATTATCAGATAAAATTATGTCGTCATAATTTGTGGCACGTTTATCTGGTTTCAATTTATGTTTTGATTATTTGCAATGAAGAGAACAATGAATTTTGTTATTTCCCGGTTATTTTTTTAAATATTTAATGTAGTTACTTTCAAAATTTAAATTTTTTTGTCAAATGATTTGTAAAAAAAATCTTACTTCAAAAAATAAATAATAATTTTACAAACTTACTCGATAAAATTAACAGCTATTAAACTAACTCCTAAACTTATATCACTTGAAGAAAATGTCATAAAAAATATATGTAATTCGGTTTTATGCAACATGATATTAAAAAGGACAATTTCGCCCATTTTTTAAAATTGTTATTTACAATTTTCTTTAGTTTTAATGTTCCAATACATATAAAATATGCAGAACTAAGTAGGCCTACATTTTGCTTCATCTGAATCGGTTAAATCATTGGCCTTGACACTTGATGAACAAAAGGTTAACGTGCCCAATGCACTAGGTTTATATGCAAGGTTAGAATGGAATCAATTTATCATTTAATGTCTTAAATGCAGATCGCCCTGATGCCCCAACCAATGTGCTTTGGGAATTTTGCAATCAGAATGCCACCATACTTTGGATGCCCGGTAGCTACAACAATGCACCTATACAATACTATGTACTCCAGTATAACACTTCTTTTAACCCTGACCAGTGGACATTTGGACTCAAGGTAAGGATCAAGTTTTAAAAAATCCCTCTTCTTGTATCTTATAGTTCAAAAAGTATTCTCACAGAGGAAATGAGTTTACTTTTCCCTTTCTTTTGAATTTGACATTCAGGAAGTGGATATATTAAGTGTGCTCATGTCCAGAACTTCTCAAAGTGGTAGCTTGTAAATCTGTGAGCCTCCCTGTTGTGGGTCTGCCAACAAGAAAATATTTAAAGCAGCAAGATACTTCCAGACTGCAAACGATCTTTCATATACAAAAAAAACTTCATTTCCTTACACGTCGTATGGTGCTGTTGACAACAAAGTGAATTCATTATTTGTGGTAATGTTCTCTCCAATAACACAATGAAGCTCTCTAAATTAGCATTGGAACATTTAAAAAAATAATTATTGGGATGAGAAATAACATTTTATAAGTGCTATGTTTTGCACATTTTTTATTTAAACAATAAAACCAAACTAAACAGAGTAGGCCATCCTTACCAAAACTCTGTCTGTTCTTCTACAACTGCATTTAACTTCTGTAAAGTAAACACATTAAGTAGAATTTCATTGCAGAAACTTATTTACTTTTCTTCTATAGGTGAATTCTACACTTAGCAAAGTCAACATGACATTGTCTCCAAATGTCAACTACACTTTCCGAATCATTGCCTATAACAAGATTGGGCCAAGTGACCCTAGCTTCCAAACCCCAAAAGTTTGTGTCACTAAACCCGAGAGACCCTACAGCCATCCTCAGAACCTGAGAACCCTTGGTCATCAATTTGGAAAACTCTACATTGAGTGGACTGTAAGCATCTTTTATGATGCTTTAATTAAATTTGAAATCACTACCTTAGCACTGAAAGCTTATTTTCTTGTCATTAAAAAAACCCTTCATTTAATTGTTCTGATTATTCATGCCACGCAGTTCCTCTTTAATATTAAAGTAAAAATTTGGAAAGAAAATATGCTTCGCTTTATTGTGAAACTACTTTTTACAAAAAAAATCTGGCTCTTGGTAGGATTTTTAGAAATTTTTTTATATATATAATACCTTTATACTCTCAAACCAGCTGCAAAGGTTTTGTGCCAAGATTTTGATAAGTGACCTTTAATAGAATTCATCTAATCCTAGCTGAAAATAGTGCTTGAACTTGAATGCTACTTGTTAATAAAAAGTTTTAGTTTTTTAAAATATATAAGGATCTTTAAATTTGCTGTTCTGAGCTGTTGGTCTAAAATAATTAGTAACTCATCTAAATACCATGAAATAATCAGTCATCTTAAGACCATGAAAAGATTAGTGTCATCTAAATATAGTTTAAAAAAACATTTTTCTCCGTCTTTTTTTTAATACAGCCGGTACCTCAGATAATGCAGAATGGCCCTGGATTTTATTACATACTGCAAATACTTCGGAATGGGTCTCAGGCAGAAACTCAGATTCAAAACATACCGATAGACAACTGGAAGACGGATCATTACGAAATGTCAACAGGAATTGTTTACGAGGCTTTCAAAATTACTCTCAAAGCTATCAACAGTGTGGGAGAAGCTGCTGCAGATCCTCCGACCATCATAGGTTTCTCTTACGAAAGCAGTACGTAGTTGCTTTATCTTCTCTCACTTGGATATTTAAATTTAACTAATTGAAATTACCCAGGATTGGTCAATAACAGTTGTTTTTGTTTGTTTCTGAATTTTCTTTTGCTTTCAATTAACTTGTAAGACGTCAAAGTTTTTCAGTTGACTCAATAAGTATAATTTAATTTTTCATTGCTCTTCAGCTCCAACAATCACCCCTACAAATTTGGCTGTAGAGGAAGTGGGCGACACTTATGCCGTTTTCAAGTGGGACTTTGATAAGAGTGAAATAGGGAAAGCAAGATCTAGAATACAAGGAGAATTTAAAGGTTTTAAGGTAAATATTTACAATTAATATTAACTGTTATATATTAATGTCTATATTCTGTAGCTTTTTTTAATCACAGATTTGAATATGTATTTGCCAATGGTTAAATAATCACAATAAACATTAATTACTAATGGCTGAGTTATTAATTTTTAAAATGTATCAAAATGAATGGGTTATTGTGGAATTTTGTTAAATAAATATGACCACTAAGGAAAGCCGTTGCTCAATAAATTTATTTCCATTCTGAAGATTCAATTTTGGGAGCAAAATCAAAGGGCGTTAACTGTGAGAGAACAGGATATAGGACCAGAATCAGCCCAGAATACAACTGGCAACACATTCACAGCCCGCATTACATTCATGCTACCAAACACTAACATGGAGGCCCAGATCTCTGTTATGAACAACTACTTCATAGGAACCCCAACAGAAAGTGTCAAGTTCAGAACTGAGCCTGGGTGTAAGTCACATCTCTTTTGATAAACATTTTTTGAAGTTTTAATGTAAGGGTAGTGAACCAATTAGCTAATGGTGGTGCCAAATTTGTCTTTATTTAATTTGACATTACTTCTTTTCTTGCTCAATAAACAAAGTTATAGAATTTTATTGAGTTCAAAGTTGAATGAATCAACTATTTTCAGTACCAGGACCGGTGGAGTACTTCCGTATCATCAACATTGGAGATACCCACGTAAACTTAGAGTGGGGGAGTCCATTTGAGAACAGGGGAGATCTTGAAGGCTATGATATCAGCTATCGCCTAGGTTTGTGATTTATTTTTGCATACCTATACTGTAAAAGGAGCTTTTGTTTCTAAAATCCTTTTCAAATCTAATAAAGGTGCTTGTATTTATCAGTCAACAATAAATAATTATTATGCATAGCATACAGTTAACCATATTTAAGTTACATTGGGGTCAAGACTGTGCTGTATTTTATTAAAAATTACCATTTATAAATGCATCATGAACATTGAGATGATGTTTGTTTTTATTTTATAACAGACTTTTCTTTAATTTTTCTATGATTGATAAATACTGCAAATTTTATATTTCATTTTAATTTAACTTATTACTAAAATTGAGTAATTTTCATAAACAATTTGAAAAACTTCATTTTTATGGGACACTCTTGGATTTTTTTTCTTTATGAATTTTATTTTTATAGTCAAGGGCCTCTATCTCGGTGAAATGCAGGAGAGGGAGCCCCAGATTGATGACCCTTTCACGACAAATGCATATCTCAGTGGTCTAATGCCAAGCTCCAAGTACAGAATCTACATTTTTGCTCGTACTGCAAAAGGTCGTGGAGAAGAATTCTTTATTGAAATTGTCACTACAGAACCAGGAAGTAAGTCACCATTTTGTCCTCATTTCAATTTGCTAAAGAACTTATTAAAGATAATAACTTCTTTTAATGAAATGAAACAATTGGGCTTTTAGTTTTTGTTTTTAAATTAGCTTTGTCAGACTAAAATTTATCTCAAAATTTACTTTATCATTTGATTAATTGATTTAAAAAAAATTGACATCAAGTTTGACAATGATATAGTTATGATGTAAACATTTTCAAAAGTGTAGTAGAAATGTCACATGTTTATCATTTGAATCTTGCTTTAAGTTTTTTTTTTCGTTTTTGTTGTTTTGTAAGTTTGTGTTCACATTTATTTAATTTTCAAAATCTCAACAATCACATTTTGAGATGATTAAAAAGAAATATGTATTGCCTGCATTTGTCAGATCCACGTATGCCTCGCTTCTCTATTGCCAATGTTGGAACCCACTACATCAATGTGTCATGGTGGATCAATGCATATGCTTCCTCCGGCACGGTTGTGTTTGTGGAGTGGAGAAAATTAGGTAGGTTGGGTTATGCATGAGCTCAAAATACTATAATTAAACTACCCGATCCATAAAATGAAAATAATGCAGGTTGCATCTTAGAAGAAAATTGGAGTGGAGATATTTAATTTTTGCCTTATGTCCCCTTTTAAATACTTTATATTAACTTCACTTTTGTTTGTGTGTGGTTGGCTGGCTGGGTGGTGGACTGGCTGGCTGGTAGGCAAAATCTTCTGATGGTTATTGACCCACTTCCCATCACCCTTTCGAGCTGAAACTTGGCACATTGACTCGCTGCCGATAACAACACATTCTATCAAATTTTCAAATTTTTATAATTCAATGAATTATTGTGTCAAAGATGGCCCAGAATGGATAAGGTCGACAGATGAGGTGATCAACACCTGGAAGAACATCAGTAACCTAGAACCAGGAACAACCTATGAAGTCAGGATTAAAGCAACTAATGGGCCAATCAGTGTTGCCTCTAGCATTGCTGAGGTCAGAACTGAAGGCATTGGTGAGTCTACCCAATACACCAGGGGCTCTCAAACTTTATGTTACAAAACCCCATTTATAATATAATTTATTTTAAAAAAAATTAAAATTTGAGCCTTTCCTTTTAACAAGCACTCATGGGGTGAAACCCTGGCTGAAAATAGTAAATTATCTTTTTAAACAACTTTTCCAAACTACATATGTTAATTTTTATTTTTTATGCCACTTCCATGTTTTGTTATTATAATTTAGTGGATGGATAAATTAACGTCTGTGTGTTCACCTATGTTCTATTCCTCATTTCTATTCTTCAGCTGTGGCCTTTTCATTGGCTGGCAACATTGGATGGTTTATTGGCATGATTCTGGCCATTCTCTTGGTCATTGGCTTAGTGATTCTCTTCATACTTTGCTACAAACGAGGGTTCAGATTTGCCCAGCGGGATCCCCAAGGCTACTATGGCGGTGGTGCTGCTCCTAGTGAGCCTTACTCCGGTACTTACGATAGTAAGCTGTCGTCTCCACGTAAAGCTATCTTGACTCTAATCCCTTCTTGGCTTTGCTACCATTGGAAAGCTGGATGTTCCTTATTTTTTTTTTTTAATAACTTATGCCTGTACTTTTTTGTAAATTTTTACCTTAAATTCATTATGGCAGGTTGTCAATATTTAAAAAAAAGCTATAAAAGCTCCTGAAGAATAAAAGACAAAAAGAAGTTGATCTAAACCAATTAATAAAAATGTTTATAAAATAAAATAGCATAATTTTACAATTTTTTAGGACATCCAACTTTTCTAAGCAGGAATCTTTTTCTATTTTACTTAGATTGTTATAATTAACCATTTTGTTTTTATTTAAACACCAATTATTATCTTAGAGTAGGTAATGTGCACAAATTTAAAGAAAAAAAAATAAAACGGGTAATATATATATATATATACTGCTGCTGAAATTTATAAAATATATAGAATTTATAAAAATAGATAATTTTAACAAATGTATTGTCATCAATAACCTTCATTTTTTTAAAAATAATGTAAAATAACACAAAATAGTGTGAATCATAATTTGACTAGATTATTGTGTACATTGCCACAATCTATTCATTTTCCGATTTATTGTTTGTAGATTTGTTAAAGTGCAGCAAAATTTTAGATATATGTCATTGTGAAAAGGACATTTCAACATACAAAATTGACAAGTCAGAAGTGTTTAAAATATTTTATATAAAATTAAACATTTTTATTTTCGGTTAAGTAATATTTTTCAAGATATAAGATTAAATTGCACCCACCAAACACTTTTTTTTGTCTTGAGAGTAGAAAGGGGCTATAGGCCTAAAGTACTTCCTGCTAAGATAGCACCACTTTGCTTTGAACTATTTAAAGATTTATTTAAAGATCTTGTAGTGTTATTTAAATGCACCAAGTTTTAGCACAAGCTTCAAGGAAATAAATTTTATTTCTGCATAATGTTTGCTTTGAATGACATACCCAAGAAATAAACATACAGATTTTAACTATCACTATAACAATAAATGTATTAAGCAGTTTTAACTATTTAAAAGAAAAAAAAGGGTGGGGGGGGGGGGGCGCAACAACAATAAGAGACCCAATAAATGAATTAAAGCAGTTTTAACAATTTTAAGTGACCCATGACAAACTTATTTTGCATGTACTAGCAACAATATTGTTTTTACCCTTACATCTTTATTAACATGAATTGCTACTAATAAAGTTCTTTGTTCATTAATATCAAGCTGGCCAGTGGAAAAAAACAGGTATATATTTCCCTGGTTATGTTTTTAAAAAAAAAAAAGATCACAGGTGGAAACAAAAACTAATATCTGTGAATTGATGTGAAAAGACACTACTTTTGAAATGAGAATATGCTTTGTGGACCCTGAGGAATAAATGATATTCTATGAAATCGTGAAATTAAAATCACAATTCTAATATATCAAAATTAAATTAAATTATTGTCCGTAAATGACAGGGCTTGCTTTGGTGCATAGTTCTGGTTTATTATTAAGAATGTTCTCATATATTAACAAGGCAATATTGTGTATAATTATAGTCTTAATCTGAACAAATATATTCTTATATTCTGTGCATTATATAGCATCACTAATTAAGAGTATATGCCTTTTCATTAACTACCAGCTTGATAATTCTGGATATATTTAAAATACAATAAAAAACTAAATAATTGCCTAAAGGCAAGAAGACTTACGTTCACTTATATTCACCTCAGTATTCCTAAAGTAGGGATTAGATAAAGCAAATCATGAATAAATATCTAACAGATCATTAACCAATTCATCTATTAATTTCTGAGAGACACAGCTTACTATGTTTTATATGTAGGTTTTATATAAATGTTGTCATGTGGTTTTCATTATGATAAAAATCTATTTTTAAAGCACATAGAAAATATTTCCTACCTATAATATAATCTTTTGATTATGTGTACAAAGAAAGATCACTCCTTATGTTTAACTGATTATTAATTTCCCTAAGGAACATAAATAATTTAGATAAATTACTAAACCATGCATGGGTATTCTATAAATGGATAATAAATAAAACAGCGTGGTAAAACATGTCCCATGAAAATACCCTTCATTTTCCATGTCATTTCTGGCACCAACTTTATCACAAGCATTTAAATAACGGTGTTGCCTACTGACACTCCTCTAAATAACTATTTAAAAAACCTCCCCTTTTACTTTACGTTTTAAGGTGCTAAAAAATGTGAGGTACATAATAACTTATTATTGTTTGGTGGCATTTAATCTTTTAAACAAACTACTGACTCATTAAAAAAAATGTGTTGGTCTTGTGGATTCCGGCAACCATTTCTTGATAACATTCTGTCCCCAGATACAACCTATGTGGCCCGTGCATCAGAACAGTTTGGACCAGAGCCAAGTGGCTACAACAATGACTACTATGATGATAGAGAGTAAGTAATTTTGATAGCCCAAAAAAGAAATTAAAAATATCCTGTTGGTCCCATCATGCATGCAAAGCTCATTGAACTGTAAAAATGTAAACATATTTGTGATAGTTTTTGTCCTTGTGTTCTTCAAAGCTAGTAACCCTAACATTTAAGTTTTAAAGAAGTTTTCTTGTTTCCATTGGTCTTTAAGTAAAAATTATGTTCCACAACTTGAGAAGGTTGTTTGATGAAACATCATACATCATCCATGCACATCTTCCAAGATCTTAGAAAAAAAAGAGGTTGTCCAAAAAAAAAAGTCTTCATACGAACATAATTTCATGGATAAACAGACAATGACTAGATTATTAAACCTATGACTAACCTGAGATAATCTTTAGATGATATGCAAGCGAATGATAAAACACAGCAACTTTATGTTTGTAAAAATCACTTTTAATAATATATTCAACTCTTATTTCAGCTATCACAACTATGAAGATGGAGATGAAGGAGGCTTTGAGAAGAAGCCTCCCAGCTACACCAGTGAAGAAAAAGATTATGAGCGGGAAAAATATCGCCCTCCGGAGAAGGAATACGAAGACTATGACCGTGATGGCTATGACCCAGACTTTGAACCCGGTGAACCCAACAAGTTTGACAAGAGAGGGGCTCCGCGTGAACGCTACGACCACAGCAACCATTCCCAGGATGACTACCGTGACGACTACCGCAAGCAGGATGACGAGTACTATGACGACCACCCTGCTGACGACTCTTATGATCGACATGACAATTATGACAGACGAGGTGACTATAGAGATCACCGAGATGACCATTACACTCCAAGTGTAACCTCAAGCAAGTCTGGTAGCACTGCAAAGCCTGCAACCTCTACTTTTGTGTAATTTCATGAGTAATAGACCTGCTTTTTTTTTAAACAATGAATTTTTTTTTTTTGAAGGTGCGAAAGCTGCATAAAATATGTTCTTATTGTAACCAATTATTTTCTCAGAGTGTTTTACCAACTGCTGCAAGAATAATTTTATCAAATGAATTTTATAATGCTTAAAATTTTATGGGCAATATTTGAAGTATAATCAGTCCTCTCCACATTTTTATAACTATGTGATTCTTGTAAAAATATAGCAAAAATTATATTTTACAAGGAATGCTTTGTCTTTTAGCTCAAAAAAAGAAAAAGATCTGAATTTTACAATTAAAATGAAGAAAATGTTTTTTAAACCCTGGGGGCTAATGCTATGTATAAATCTTTCATTATTGACATTTATTACTCAATGAAAAAATTTTTTTTCTGCATTCATGTTTTAAATTGAACTATTTTATAAGTAAATGTCTAAGTTATCAAATCGGGTCACTAAAAGTTTTTATTCAATAACTAATTTTAAACAAATAAAACTGATATGGTTAAATTGTACTTTTTTATATACCGGTATATATATACTATATATATATATTGCCCAGATAAAAATATACTTCCTAAAAATGCAATTTTTATAACAGTCCAATTTGTTTTTTAAAGAAAGAATAAGGAAAGCAATGCTGTTACTTCACTCATACTCATACTCTTACAGATTTGATTCTTTGCTATAATTAAAAAACATTCAATAAAATAATAATAATTCAACAACTGCAGCGTTGTAAAGAAATAGTTATTGATATATGCATATATCAGCAAAAACTTCAGGTTCAAGAAGACAATTTTTTGCTTTTTAAATAACTTCACACTTGTTTTATAATTTTTTTTAAATTGTATATTTACAAATCTATCATTGAATGAGTTAAAATTGAAATTTATTTTAAACTTTTTTTTTTTTTAAACATAGTTTGTGCAAGTGCTGTTTCTCACTCAATTATTCATTTGTACACAATATTTGTACACGGCGTCTCTAAGTAAATGAAGTTTTGTAAACTGGAATGAATCATGTCTCCAAGTGTTGTGTGAGATAGTATAGATGTTTTATTGAGATTATGTATCTGCTCATGTGTACAGCATCACCATAGCTATCTCAAAATGCAAGTGTATATATTTATATATATCTCGATGATAATGCTGTATTCTCAATGGCTAAGACTTAACCTTTGGCCTGTTTCTATATCTAGAATTTTAAAATATAAATAAAAACATTGAAATTTATTACATTTTTCCAGCCTGTCTACTTTTTTAATATCTGATACTAATTTTAATGGGGGAATTGGTCCATTAAAATAGATTTTTATATTATTTTATTTTAGCTGTTTAAAATTTTCTGAACATGGATCTGATAAATTGGGTTGAGGTATCAAAGATATTGTTTAAAAAATTCATTTAAAAAAAAAGAAGTTACCGTAAATTTGATTTTAAATTTGGAAATTGTGTCTCTACATTAACAATAGTTGCTATATGACAATTGTGTATGTATATAAACATATATATATATCTATTGTTGATTTGTTCACCACTTTACATGTAGCTTACCCTGACAGTTGAATCTAATTCAGTTTTAGTTTGCCTTGTATAAATAATTAGCTGTTTTACATTCCATGTACAGTTACCATTTAACCTGGAATACCAGGTCCTTTACAATGTAATATGCAAACAAAATAAATATTTTTTTGTTAAATAATGGAATAAACTTTTTAATGAAATGAATTTGTTAGCTCTTTGTTTTAAGCTACAAACCATGCAGCACGAGCTATTGATGAATGTGAACTACGATTGAATCTATACCACAATACAACAATTGATGAATGTGAACACCGACTTAAGACCATCATACAATTGATGAATGTGAAGATTGAATCAAGACCACCATACAATTGATGAATGTGAACAAGTGAATCAAGACCATCATACAACAATTTATTTAAATAAAAAAATAAAACAACCAATGGCAAACTGTGCTTACCATTTACATAACTATTTATTTGTTTGAACTAATTCATCAATGAATGAATATAATTTTTAAAAAAACAACTTAAATATTAAAATTAAAAACAGTTGATCGTTAAATAAAAAATATGACAAACAATCTATTAGTATGTTAGTATAGTAATTATCATTTTGGATTTAATTTAAAACTTATATGAATTGTATCTAAATGGTATGAAAAAGAAGATAGGAAATATTTACAAAAGATGTCTTAAAATATATCTATTAACATTATGTGATTTATCTGAGGTAAAATGAGACAGCATGAATTACCAAACAAATGCAGTAGGCCTAACTTTGAGTGACTTAGAAAGTTTATTTGGAATTTTTGACTGCTAGTACTTGCTTCATTTAAATTACTAAATAATGAACGTTTTGCACCTTTGTAAGACTCTTTGATTTACTCCCTAAACAACACCCCCACCCCCTTTTTTAATTAAAAATTATTTCTAAAGGTAGTACCAAAAAAAAAATTGGAAATGATGTGAGAATAGAAAAACATGTTTAAATAAATAAGCTGGAGAAACGGTCTTGCTGCTTTCATTTTGAAAGCAAAATACATTGCCAAAAATATTTCAATATGCACTAAGTATATTGGCAACATTATGCCCCTAGAAGTGTGAGGCGACCTGAACCCAAACCCATGAGGTTCCCAAGAGGCATGATGCCCCTAGCAGTGCCGTCTTAAGGCAAGGGCGCACTGGGCACTGGTTCCAGGGCCTCATGCTTCTACTTCTAGGCAATCTAGGGGCATCGCGCTTCTAAGAGACTCACTCTTTTATTTAGAGGCATCATGCTTTACATAGTGTTCATGAATATTGAAAGATTTTGGCAATTTAATTTAATTTATAAGTCAGCGGAAAGCACGTGTCCCAGTTTTTACCCCCAATAATTTCGGCACATTCCAGAATTACTATTTTTAATGCGAATCACAAGTTGGGTGGTTACTTCTTACGTGAAATAGCTCTCCTCAACAAGTTTTACTCGCAGATATGAATTGGAAAAAAAAAAAAATATGTTTACAATCATGTTACAATGTTAGACTAGGATGCTAGTCCAGGGCGGTAACAAACCTAGCTTCCCCACTGCTCAGTAGTGAAAATAGTGGAGAAAAGCAGTGCCGTCTTGCCGAAGGGTCTCATTCTCATGCGTACACCGACTAAAGCGTACACGGAAAATTGCGCACACTGACAATTGCGAACCTTGACAATAGCGAACACATACAATGCGCACAATGTAATTTTAAGATGTCATTCATAAAAGAGTTCAAAAAGTTGTTGTTGATCATCAGTGTAAAAGAATAGTCGTCAATTATAAGTGGCTAGGATAAGAAATAAAGAAGAAATACTGATGTCAGTGTCAGTGATGTTTAAAACTATACTTAATTGACTCAAAGACTTTACTCAAATATAATAATATTATTAGTAATTAATTATATACGTAACAATAGATTTATTGCACCAAAAGTTACATTTCTATGTTGCAAAGAAGAATTATTTCTATTAATATTTAATTGACGGTAAACCATGCTCCATTAAAAATATTTAAAATATTACTATTAATTACTGATGACAGTGATGAAGAAAAATGTAGGCCTAGGAATCATACACTTAATAAGTTACATAATGTAACATAAGAGTCAAGAGTATGAAAATCGTCCTAAATATTTTAGTTTTATTAATTATAGTTTAAAATAATCTTCCTACTACTCCTAGTACCTAGACCTAAGCATAATTGACAATTGAGTTGTATAAAAGATATTTTAAAAAATTATATATAGTTTAAAATAATCTTCCTACCCTTAGTCACTAGTCTAAGCTTAATTATGTTTCATTATTCATTATAGTTTAAAATAATGGTCCACCTCCTAATAGCACCCTGCCTAGACTAATTGAGGTTCGTTAAGCTGTATACTCTATAGTTAAAAATAATTGTCCTACTCCTAGTACCTGAGCCTAATTGAGTTTCATTTATAAATTATAGTACCGGGTAGTTAAAAATAACGACCTTTAAGTTATAGCCTATAGAATGCTATATACTCATACAGATAACCCGTATATCATATAGGCCTACTTGCGATATTAATAAGTTAAAAAAAGAATAATATTAGCCGAAATCGGAAGGGTTGGCAGGTCTGCGATTATGTTTTACTTTAGTACACTCAGGAAAGCAATCATAAAATTCCCCAAGCTGAATTCCTGGATATTTCTACTATAATTTATTTTGTAATTGTAAGAACTGTACTGTTCCCCTTAGTTTTTTCTCTCAGTGAAATGTATTTAGTCCTAATATTTATTAGCCTACTGTTCTATTATTGTAAATTTGTTTTTTAATGTCTGAGTGATTAACTGATGTAGTTGTTTTGTTTTTTTACGAAGTCTTTTATCATAATCTATGGTTATGAATAGTAAAATTATGATTGTGAGTGTAAATAATGAAAGGTGATTTCCCCAATGCAGAGTTTTGACAGACAGTTTCCTGTTCTTAATTAAAACAAGAGAGAATTTAAGGAAATTTTGAATCCCAATTTATAATGGAAAAAACTAGTTAGCATTATTTTCCTCAAGATTTTCAATAAATGACCATGACATCATCTACAGTAGGCTTCACACTTCACACCTCTGACTTGATTAAATGTTTTCTTTTATTTAAAATAAAAATTGTTTTTGTTTTGTCTACTCAATTTTAATCTAGCATTAAGTACTTAATATGAATTTTATATGATAATTTGTTGAATGTTTTCCTTTGAAATTAAAAAAAAATTAATTATTTACAAATTTTTAATATTTTTAATTTTTCAGGGTTAGCATTTTATTTAAAATCTTGTCTAAATTACTTGTAACTTTTTAAAACAAAGTTTACAGTATTATTCACTTTAAATTTTAATTGTGTTGCAATCTTGTATACTGGTATGTGCTAGAAAAATATCACTTCAATTGAATGTGAATATCATAATATTCACTCAAATGTAATTTGTCTTTTTAAATTGACACGATTATTTATTTTAAAATAAATCACTTGAAATTTATTTATATATTTAGAAACAAATGTAAATTAAGGAGAATTCAATAATTTTAAAAATGATTTACACTAATTTTAGGGGCTACAATAACTAGAACTATTAAAAGCCATGACACATTGATAGAGTGTATTCAATATTACTTTGTGAGAGATCTTAAGATGTTTGAAAGAAATAATATGCTTTGTTATGGTTGCAGCAATACTTTTTTTTATAAATAGGATTTTCTTTATTTTATTATTCTTATTTTCATAAAAATTTAACTAGAAATAGTTTTGCATAATAAATTTAAATCTAGAAACAAAATTTTAAACACAACAATTATTGTTCCTATTATACTATTATTGTTAATTTTATTGTTTCAAAAAGTTTAACATAAAAATAATTTACATTAATCAATGATTAATTTTTATTGTAAATTAGCCAGTCTTTTCAGGTATTTTAACTTGTCGTCCTCCCCATCATATCCTTTTACGGCAGTGGCAACCAACACATGCAGATCTTCATATTTTCTCCTTTTCACTTCTACACGGCCTGTATGTGCATTAGCCAGCGTTAGTCTCTGACAAGCCAGATCCCTCTGCAGTCCATCAAAAAGAAACCAAATGCTGGGATGAATGCAGTGGAATAGGGAATTAAGAGCATTGTGAAATCCCTCGCAGCAGTTTGTAGTTTTAGGTGAACGTTGAAAAGCTTATAAAGTTCTCAACTTTATAGGGGACAATCAGATCTCTTTGGCCAAATCAATACCTCAACTTTATGGGGGACACTCTTATCTCTTTGGCCTTATCTCTAGTGGGCTTAACTTTTGATCGATACCAAATATGTCTAGGTAGCGTTTAATTATATTATAAAACTAATAAAAGTAATGGGCACTCAATGGTCTATTTTGCATGAATTTTGTTCCCCCCACCCAGTTATTATAATATATATATATTTACATTCACTGTTTGGGACCGAGCTATTGCTCTTTAATGGTCCCGGCAAGTATGAAACAGACCTGCCTCATCTGCTGGGCAGTCCCATAAATCAGACTGTCAGCGTGGTTGGCTGGGAGACCCCCAGTCAGGGCCGTCTTAAGAACATAGGGGGCCCTGGGCACAGCAATGCACTGGGGCCCCCAGCAACACAACACACACCAGGGTCGTTAGAAGGGGGGCAAAGTGGGGCACTCGCCCCCATGCTCCCAACCCAACTCATCAAGAGGAATTACATTTTAAATAAGAATAAACATTCAATAAAGTTAAAAATAAGTTAATTCAACTTATTTATACAAAAACAAAACCATTCCAATTCAATAATGGTTTTAAAACATCATAAATACATTATAATTCATCCCAGATGATGATAAATTATCAGGTTCTCCATTTTATTACTTAGTTTCTGCCTCACACCTCGTTTTTTCTTTTCCTGGTCAGTGTCAGCTGGTACAGAGTCCAGTGCATTTTTTCGAAACGTTGATGGCATCAAAATGTGCCAACCATTTTGTGTCAGACAGATGCTTTACAACGAGAGATTTTCCTAAAGAAGATACCAGAACATTCCATCGATGTGTAGAAGCTGAGAAAAGGGTATAAAGGCGCTGAATAAAGTCAAAGAATTGTCCAACTTGTAGACAACACTCTGCTGCTTTTAAGCCCACTAAGTTCAGACTGTGTCCAGCACAAGGGACATACACGGTGAACTTGTTCAACTGAC